CTAAGAATTAGAAAAGATGAATAAGTTAACCCTTCACCAGTAATGTTTAATTTTTCAAGAAAAAATCGATTTTTTAATTGTGAATTTTGATGTAGATCAATTTATCAGAAAAATAAATAAAATACAATCCAACTTCTATGATAGTAAAAACTCGTTAAAGTCTTCAGAAACATGTAAGATTTGTTCAGATTTTTGCACAGTCTGGATCAACATAAAAATTTGCACTTAAAATTTGGGCACTTCTTGCCGATAATATCCATATTAATGTAAATTAAATTCGCTTCCATTTACTTTTTAGAAGTTGATTCTACCAATGTCAATAAGGTTTACATTACTTTCGATTTAATCTACTGTTTAATTTTTCTAATTCTTTATAAAATTCCGTCTATTTTTACTAATGTAGATTAACTTAAATTTTTGGTTAATTTACGTTCTATTTTTTTTTTTAATTCTTAGAATTGAAGATGAAAAGTAAGTTAAATCGAGATTAAAGTTATCTATGTAAGTAAAAGTGAATATTAAGAGAAAGATAAAGAGTAAATTCAATTGATCCGAGATTAAAATTAATCTTACATTGATAGAATCGGGCCTTGTGCCCATTTCCATCATTGTAGTTTAAATTTTAATTTTGGTTCAACCAATTCTTCTTTTTCTAGTTCTAAGAATTGATAAAGAGATGAAGAGTAAGTTGAACCGAGATTAATCTTACATTGGTGGTGGAACTAGGAAAATATGAGTTCAATGTAGATTAATTTTAATTTCGGTTCAATTTAATCTTAATCTTCTTTAATTCTTAAAACTAGAAAAAGATGAAAAGTTAGTTGAATCAAGAATTAAAATTACATTGAAAGGAACAGGCATTAATTGAATCGAGATTGAAGTTCAAACTATCATTGATGGGGAGACTATGATGTAAGACTACAAAGTGTTTTATTGTGCATATAATGGTGATCGAATATAATCGAATAAAATAAATTTTTTATTGATAATAAATTTCTGATAGTAGCTCTATATTGACTTAAAACATTTTTGACTTATTTTCTGATTAGTTATCGACTGTGCATTTTTGGAGCAAAACACCTTGTATCCTTATCTCATGGTGGAAACGAGTTTAAATCATATCGATCGAACGCTTCTCGTGTGCTTTTCGATCTGTTTGCTTTGATTATCGAGCCACTATAAATACAGGTCGAAGGATCGTCTCGTGATATTACGTAAAGGAACGTAACATCGGACTGTTGAAACAAGAAAAGGGCAACGGCGACGTCGTCCGGTAACGTTAGCGGTTTCTGACTTTATTATAGCAATTAAACGATCTTTATTGGCATTCCATCCTACACTGGAATTTATACGATCGGATCCTATCGCAGCTTTATTTATTCTTCAGATTAAATGCGCAATAAAATAACCAACTGTGGTAAAGCATCATCGGGACGTAACGGAGAGATTCGAGCTGTACGTTAAACAACAGACGAGAAATAATAAACGATGAACGTCGCTTGTCAAGTGCGATCGTGCGGAGTTGTAGTGTATCTTCAAACTTTTCAGGCATTACTTTATACCGATTATCCTTCAACTAATAATATTTATATTTATAAGTGAACATACAGGTACGAGAATCAATACTAAGGACACATGATAGATAAAATATCAGGTGACTGTTGTGTCGTTTATGGAAAGCCCGTGGTAATGCAATAATGTGCATATGGTATTGACAGTTTTCATTGGTTATGTTTAGCAGAGGAAGCAGCTTTGCAATTGTTGTAAAATTCTTCAATCTTGATTAGTTTATATATTTAAGGTTGGTTTTTCATTACTTGGTTAACAATTTGTGGTTTATTTAACTTCACTTTTGACGATAATGTAAAAATTGTTTTTCTCTGGTGATTATCAATTGCTAAAGAGTTATTTACTATAGGAATATCAATTTAGTGATTAATCATAACTAGAAAAATAAATTGTTACATTATCAGAAACAGAGTGAAAATCCATGAGCAACTAAAGGCAAGAACCAACCGTTGAAGAATTTTACAATTGCAAATCGACTTTCTTTGCTGAATGCAACCATTGTTTTCTGTAAACGACCCAACGGTCGGACGACATTTTGTCTATCGTGTACTCTCGCCCTAAGAAACGTTCTTGAAATATTTTTAGAAATGTTCTTTTACTTTCGGAGTTAATAGTCGCTTTGGGACTAGTAGAGCTCAAGATAAAATCACAGAATCTCTTACATAGGTCACATGTAATTGACTTTTAACACAGTTGTTTTTTCATTTGCTGTTTTTTTTTGTGATTATATGTAATTACAGATCGTTAAAGAATTATTCATATTCGCAGAACCATAATGTGAGATTAAATTTAGTGCGTTATCAAAGCAAATTTTTTTTTAATCTTTTATACTTTTCCAATAAGCATAATAGTCGATTAGTTTTCTTTCGAAAAAGTAGATATATAACAAAATAAATTTAATATCCCATTAATTTTGTTTACGCCTTGCATTGTCAAATACAGCGAAAGTAAAATTTGAATATGAGTGTAAATAAAAAGTCTACCTATATTACACGATGCATTTTTCTTGCTGTATTATTTACGTTTTACTAAATTACAAGAAATTCTACGTTTTACGTGGTACAATTCTAGTAATTTGAACTAAAACGCAAGCAATCTAGCAAGAAAAAATATGTGCTGTAGAAGAACTAACGATTCGAAAATGGAAATTCTAGTGTGATGTAACAAATTCGAGTTATATTGATCGTAAATTGACCGAACGTGTGTTTGAAATTTCTAAATTCGCGACGCTTTTAATTAAAGCGTAAAAAAAACTCGAATTTTAATAAATTAAAAATAAAACCTGAGCTATGTAATTGACCAATCACAGTCAAATAAAATTGATTATGATCGTACAATTTTTAAGGCCTAGGGCCAGAGTTTTGCGTCTTAAAATCTCATTGTATACCACGCTTGAGGTGAAATTGACGCTAGAATTTGTGCCATGATAAAATACGAGTTGAAAATCGATAAGTACGCGTCGACGTTACGGTTGGGCTGGGTTTTTTGTTTTTCGATGACTTGGGACGCGTTCTATTTCGATAGGTTCGACAGGAAAGATTCGTTTTTTTTTTCCGAGGATTCGCGAAAAGGTGGATAATATAGAGATGGTCGGTCGGACGCGCGTTTCGAGTGGCAGTGAAAAATGAAGTCGCGACCATCTTGACGCCGAACGTAATTCGGCCTCTCGCTGGCACTCGGCAGCGTCAGTGGTATTCGCAATCACGTCGCAGTAGCGAATTTCCGTGCGACGCGCATGCGCGCCGTTTTCCTGTTTTTCCTTCTCGCTCGCTCCGGGACGACGCGGGCCGCGGCTCGTAGCCTCGTCGCCGCCTCGTACGTCTGCGCCCTCGAACGGCTGAACGGCAGTTAACGGTGGCCGAGCCGAGAAGGCGTTGAGCTGCGCCATTGTTGAAAAGGGCAGCGCACGAGGCGGACGCCGGGCCTGGACTCTCCACGCTGCTTTACACTTTTCACCGACTCCATTGCTGTGATATTAGATTGTTTTATATCTCCCTTATTAGGTGAGTGAGTACGTATATAAATTCGCGCGCGATATAGGCGAGACGCGTCTGGTCGCGACGGGAAATCGGCGTCGAGAATGCGGACGACACGACACGACATGGCGGTGGCGTGGCGGGGCGGGTCCGTGGAATGGCGAGTGTTTTCGATGAAAGATTCGTCGCGATCTCGCGGTCCATTATCGTCGTTCGTCACGATGTTCGAAAACTGAGCGTATCTCACCCGCGTGTAAGTGGCGTAGCGTTTGCGATTTCATTTGTCATTGTCCAGACGCGACGCACGAAACCGCGAGGAATTCGGTCGGAACACGAGAGTGCGCGCGAGCGCGAAGCGGATCGATCGGCCGTTGCTTTTCCGCCGCGAGCTTTCCACTCGCCGCCATTTTGTCCCGGGTCCGACCTCGCCGACCGCCATATTGGCGTTCCACGTCTCCGACTCTCGCGGTTTCCTCCTTTCCTCTCTTTGCGGGGAGTGAGCGGCTCGCGTCTCGCGTCGCCGCAAGATGGTTCCTCTGCTCTCGTTCTTTCCGTCCCGCTTTTTTTCTCTCTCGTGTCCCTGTATCTCGACGCGCGCTCGGTACGTGGTCTGAAAAAAATTGTCAACTTGTTTTTGTTTCTTGCGCATGCACGCATACTCGGCAACGCCTGATGTAACGCGCTCTCGCGCACGCGAGATAACAATATAAATAGATTACGCAATCGCGCAACAACTCTCATCTTTTTTGTTCTTTCACTCCCCCTTTTTTTTTGCTCCCTGCGCAGCAGTCGGCACCTCGCGACTGCGTAGTGCACTCGCTCCAGTCTCTTCCTGCTGCGTGTGCAGTAACCTCACCTCACCCTCCGTCGTTCCCCACCTCCGTCGCTCGCGAACCGCGTGATCGATTTTCCGTATTTATTGCGCGCCGCTAATGTAAATCGCGCTGACGTAAATCGGGTTAGACCAGTCCTGGTTTCGCTCGTTGCCGCCTCGGCCGGCGACGTGACGTGAGAACATTGTGATAAAAATATGCGATTCGATCGCGAATTGGTTTGGTCACTTGTAGTGAGCAAGATTTTCGTCATCGCCGATCATCGATAACGTCGTATCGTCTTCAGGTACACGCGTTTGTTTTGACGTTCGTTCTTTCCTGTTCTCTTTTTTTTTCTCCGCTTGGTATTCTTCGTTTTCGGTCGGATTGTGCTGGTAACCGCGTAACGTTATATTCTCTATCGATGTCTTTTTAAAAATCGTCATTGCTAGTACTGAAAATCTGTTGTGCACGATTCGTGTGCTGTAGATTTTTAGTACTGATAAATGGTGTATATGGTCTTGATATAAAAGAAATAATCGGATGACCTCCGAGAGGTGGG